GTTTTTTTATAAGAACATAGGGAGGGGCGTGTGTGTGTGTGTGTGTGTGTGTGTGTGTGTATGTATATATATAACATATGTATGTACACATGTTGACACACACACACACACACACACAGAGTGAATTTACTTTTTGGAGGTTGCTTATAGAACTTTGGCATTTTCTGTTTACGCTGCTTCATATAAGCTTGTCTTACTTTCTTTCTCAGTTAAGTTATAGTCTGCCAAACATAGTCAACCTGGAAAAATACCATTACTTTTATGATACAATAAATATGCACAGTGTAATTTGTCATGGATAATCACATATATTCAAGGATGAGGGAAAAAATAAGGGGTTAAGAATTGGCAGAAAGATGAATATAGGGTTGTTATTTAATTTGTGTATAAAAACTTCAGAATTGTATTTAATAGAATATGTGGGCCTCGCTTTGGCGAAATCAAAGAAAAAGACATTGACTGGGGAAAACGCTGTGTGGATAAATTTGATATCATTGGAATTATTGGAGAAGGTACCTATGGACAAGTTTACAAGGCCAGGGATAAAGACACTGGTAAGAATGCCATGTGGAATGTACTTCATTTGTTTTGTGTTTTTCTTCCAAAGTATACCTAAGAATTTACATAGGGTCGGACAGTTAAATGGGAAAGATCTGGTGTGAAAAATAATGTATACAGTCTTTGTAGAAATACAGAAAAAGAACTAGTAAAATGAGTATGAGAATAAAAAGGGGGGATAAGAACCAGAGGGGTGAGGATGGCCAGGGGATAATCATAGGTTTGCACAATTTGATGGGGAGAGGGACACGTGGGTAAAGGAAATGAGAACTTTGTAAACAAACCAATATAAAAGAGAGAAAATTATTATTTATTTTAAAAAGTATACCTAAGAATGTAAAAAAGTTTCAAAAAACAAAAATTTTAATTCTGTCACACTTTGGCTTTAAATTACTTTTTTATATCTTTGGTTATGTGTGTCATCCTTTAGTATTTGTTATGTGTTGTATGATGGGATTTATATGTATATTTATTTTACTGTGAAGAATTCTTACAATGTAAGTAATTAATGGTAAACATTTACTGGGGAGATTACATCTCTTAGTCAACTTTTTTTTTAATTAATTTGAAATCTTTTACACTTAAAATTTGTTGAAATTACTTTTGTCCCCTTAGGAAATTGTCTCTTTTCTTGAAAGCCAAGTTTAGCAACTTCATCTTTTAAGAATGTTATGAAGAACCTCGTTTATGCATTAGAGGATAAAGTAACTTTGTCATAAGCTACATGCAGAAGTTATACACTTCAGTAGATATTGAATAGAGGCAGTCTTTAATCATACTTCCTTGTTAAAATAAGCCAGTGGATTAAAATGGCACAGGTATTTGAAGCCATTTACTGTAGTGGAGACATTCTTTTTCCTAGAAACATTTGGAGACAATAGAGCAAAGAATATTAATATTTGGAGTGATTTTGGATTATGAAAAGATTAAATTATAACTCTTAAAATGGTTTTAAGACAAGGAAACGTAGTATAAAAAGACTTCATTAAATATGAGTGAAATAGGTTTTGATGACTAAAAAGATAAATACCTCCTTTGAGATTGAAGCACAGCTTCTTGCCACTAGGGCACCAGAGCTCTAAAAAGATAAATACCTCCTTTTGGGATATTTACAAGCATAGTATTTTTTTCTTGAAAGTAATAGAATGAAGATATCTTTGTTAAAGTTTTTTCTTTTGGCAGAATTTTATTTTTGTGTGTAATTTATTCACACAAAATAATGTACGGATTTTGTCTGATACAAAATTCACTCATAGCTAAATTACAAGACATAATGAGAAGATCACATTCCTTTGAGGTAGCTATATCTGGTTTTGAATCCCAGTTTGACTTACTAGCTAACTGAACAGCTTTGGGCAGGGTGATTGAATACAGTTTCTTATTTTCCCAGTGTACAATATTCCATTTGTCCAGAAAACTTTTATGCATACATAATCAGGTGTGTATATTTACACTTCTCCTGTTTTAGAAAATATAATGGCAGTTTAATATAATTTCAGTATCTCTTTTTACTTAACTATCTTTGAGAGCATAAAAATAGCAATGCATCTGACTTGCATCATTCTTTTTAACAGTTATTTCAAATTCCTTGATTTAGATAAATTGTTCATACTTGATTTAAACAAACATGTAATTTTTTTGAACTTCAAATATCATTTGGAATATTGTAAATGAAACTACATTTTATATAATCTTGACGATGTTGGAACATAAATTATGAATTAAATATTTGAAATTAAGAATAAAGTCATACAACTTGTTGGTAATGGGATTTTATTTAATTTTTTAATAGGAGAAATGGTAGCCTTAAAAAAGGTACGTCTAGATAATGAAAAGGAAGGCTTTCCAATTACAGCAATTCGAGAAATTAAAATTCTTCGGCAGCTCACCCACCAGAGTATTATTAATATGAAGGAAATAGTAACAGATAAAGAAGATGCTTTGGATTTTAAGAAGGACAAAGGTATGTGCATGTGTTGAAATGACCAATTTTCTTTGTGTTAATGATGTTTCTAACTTGAAATTTGCTATAGACACTGACCATATGAATAGTAATCTGTTATAAAGGCTGTTGCCCTAATAATAATAAAATTTCCATTTTAAGATACAATTTAAGATTTTTTTTTATTAAGTGTTTTTTTTGAGTTACTATTATATATGAAATACTCTCTAGTGCTATTGGGGTTTTTGCCCATCAATGTATTATTTTCTTCAATTTTTGTGATTGAAAAACAGTTGCTAGTTGATTATTTTTACTCTACACAATGGTTTAGTATACAAGGAAACTTTGTAATAGGCATATATGTTATTAAAAATAGTCTTCAAAGGTATATAGGCTAAAAATCTCCTGAAGGGTCCTCTAACAAATAGTACAACTACTAACTTTGTCACACATATTTTGAGTGTGTTGTTGGAGGGGCCAGTCCTTGGGGAAGACAGACATTAATGCTTTGATAGGTGGAGGATCAGTGAAAGCGAAGAAGACCCTCAACAAGATGGATTGCAATGGTGAGTGTAACAGTGGGCTCAAGTATATCAGAGATGATGATCGCAAAACACAGGGCAAGGTTTAGATCCATTGTTCATAGGGCCATAAGGTGGCATGACAAGAACAGTATACAAAACCTAATTTTTATCTGTGCACTATCCATGAACAATGAAATAAAATCTTTCTAATAGCCTTAAAAGAGTAAAATACTTTGGGATAAAATTAACAATTCTTATACTGTCAAAGCTACTTAACATTATGAAAAAAATTAAATAAATGGGAAAGATCTCATCTTCATAAATCAGAATACGTAATTTATTTTTAATCAAATTGAACTTCTCTGATAGTTTATAGCTGTTTCCTCCTTGCAAGTATCTGTGTACATGTGCTATATGGTTTTTAATTTTTTTCCACAACATCATACTGAGAAAAGTACAGCATTTGTAAAAATAGTAGTTCATGCAATTCGCCAATAATCATAAGTGGTGATACATATTTGCATACAAATATGGTAATATTAAAATGACACCGTTAAACTGATACAGCTACAGAGTCAACACTGACTTTATCAAAATTGCAGCTGCAATTTTTTTCCCCATAAACTCAAGATACCTATGTAAGACCAAACAGTAGTTGGTATTCATAAGGTTTGCATATGACAAAACACAATCAGTTTGTGTTTTGTTGGAAATCAAGTAGATTGAGAGGTTTGTTTGTATTGGAAAAGTTTATACAAGATGAAACTGGAGAGGAACTTTGGAGCTACAATGGTGATTTTATTTAATCCTTGACATTTTTTTTTCTTTTCCTTGCTGTGTACAGTTGAATCAGATCCGACTGGCATAGGAGATTGCCCCTCCTTCTCCAGCAGAGAATCTGATGGATATTCTTTGGCATTTTGATAGGCCTAAATAGTATCTTTTCATTTTATATTACAATGGAAATTGAGAAGCAGCCCTGGTGGCATGTATAACATACTGTTCAAATCTACCAGCTATGATGGTTGGGAGAAAGATGGGTAATCTCTTGCCATATCTTAACCTTATAGGTGGTTTTTATTTCTTTATCTGTCTATCCATCCAACTGGTTTATGATTGTTACTCATTTTTTCTAATATGGTATTCTTTCTCAAAATTAATTTTAAATATTCTTTCTATAACATAAAAATTTTCTTCTTCTGAGTTGTTTTTATGTGCCGTCGAGTCAACTGTGGCTCATAACGACCCTATGTGCGACAGCCCTAAACCCTGTTCCATCCCTTGTCAATCTTACTGTCTCTGACATACCTCTCTCCATTAACTCAGTGACTGAATCAATCCATTTCATCAAGGGTCTTCCTCTCCTGCGCTGTCCCTGTACCCTCCCAAGCATGACATCCCTCTCTCTAAGGATTGCTCCCTCCTTGCAACATGTCCTAAGTATGTCAGATGAAGCTTCAGAATCCTTGCCTGGCTCCGCCTTCTCCAGGATGAACTTGTTTGTTCTTGTATAGCAGTCCATGGTTTATTCAGTACTCTTCTCCATCACCACAGCTCAAAGACACCAACTCTCCTTCATTCATCCTTAGTCATTGTCCAGCTCTCTGATGCATAACAAGTGATTGCAAAGACCATGCATATATCACGCCCACCTCAGTCTCCAGACTGACATCATTGCTCTTCAGTAGTTTGAAGACGTCTCTGACAACAGACTTTCCCATCTCAGTACATCTTTTAATTTCTTGGCAGCTGGTGCCAAGAGTGTTGTTTGTAGAGCTGAGCAAACGGAAGCTGTCAGCAATCTCAATCCCATCACCATTTACCATGGTGCTGCCAATTAGCCCAATGGTGAGAATCTCTTTTTTTTTTGCCAAAAGACTTAAGCAATTTATGAAAAATAAGATCATATGTCATAATCCAGTGACATTTAAACCAAGATTACAAGGATAGTTCAACATTAGAAAGTCACTGTCATTTGCCACATAAATAAAACAAAGGAAAAGAAATACGTAATGATATCTATTGATGGAGATAAGGCATGTGATATAATCCAACAACTTTTTCTTTTAAAAATTCTTAGCAAAATATTATTAGAAGGGAAATTTTTCAATATAGTTAAGGGCTTTATGCAAAACCAGTGGATACCAATTATACTCAATGGAGAAAAGCTGAGAGCCTTTCCTCTGGAAATGGGAATGAGAAAAGGATGTCTCTTATCAACATTCTTAGCATCGCACTAGAAGAACTAAGAATCAGGTAATAGAGATAAATTAAAGTCACATAAATAAAAAATAAAGATGTGAGATGCAAATCAAAGAGAATCTTTTGTTTTCTTGATGTTGAGCTTCAGTCCATATTGAAGGCTGCAGTCCTTGATCTTCTACAGTAAGCACTTGAGGTCCTCCTCAGTTTAAGCAAGCAGCGTTTTGTCATCTGCATAATGCAGATTATTGATGAGTCTACCTCCAATCCTGATGCCACACTTCTCCTCATAAAGCCTAGCCTCCCATATAATCTGTTCTGCATATAGATTGAAAAGATAGGGAGATTAAGACCCATCCTTGACGTACACCCTTCCCAGTTTTGAACCATACAGTGTTTCCTTTTCTCTGATGATTGTCTCCTGTTCTAAGTACAGGTTTCACATAAGCACAGTCAAGTGTTCTGGGATTCCCATTCTTCTCAGTGTCATCCACAGTTTGTTGTGATCCACACAGTCAAATGCCTTTTCATAGTCAATGAAACACAGATAAAACATTCCTCTGGTACTCTCTGCTTTCAGCCAAGATCCATCTGACATTAGTTATAATATCCCTAGTGCCATAGCCTCTTCTAAATCCAGCCTGACTTCAGGCAGTTCTCTGTTTATGTGCTGTTCCATTCATTTTTGGATAATCTTCAGCAGAGTCTTGCTTGCATGTAATATTAATGATATTGTTCGATAATTTCCGCACTCTGTCGGATCACCTTTCTTTGGAATGGGAACAAATATAGAGCTCTTCTAGTCAGTTGGCCTGGCCTGGTGGTCGTCCTTCAGATTTCTTGGCACAACTTGATGAGCACATCCAGGGCAGCGCCTGTTTGTTGAAATATGTCAGTCGGTATGCCATCAATTCCTGGGGCCTTGTTTTTTGCCTATTCTTTCAGAGCAGCTTGAACTATTTCCTCACTACAGACTTTTGCTTGTATGTTTCATGAAATCCTTCTGTGTCTACCAATTCTTTTTTGTACCATGACTCTGTATACTCTTTATATCTTCTTCTAATGCTTCCAGGATCTTTTAATATTCTTCCCAAAGCATCCTTAAGTATTGAAACTCGAGGTTTGGATTTATTTGTCTGTTCCTTCAGCTTAAGAAATGCTGAACGAGTTTGGCCCTTGATTTTCTGACTCCAGCTCCTTGCACATTTCATTGTAATACTTTACTTTGTCTTTCTGTACTGCCTTCTGTCTTGATTTCTTCCCTTTGCTTTGGCTTCTTGGCACTCCAGTGCAATATTTAGAGTTTCTTCTGACATCCATCTTGATATGTTTTTGCCTCCTCTGTTTTTGTAGTGACCTTTTGCATTCTTCCTGGATGATATTCTTGGTATCGTCCCACAGCTCATCAGGTCTTTGCTCATTAATGTCCAAGGCCTCAGATCTGTTCCTGAGATGGTTTTGAAATTGAGGTGGGGTAGACTCAAGGTCAAACTTTGGTTCCTATGGACTTGATTTAATTTTCCTAAGCTTCAGCTTTAACTTGCATGTGAGTAGTTGGTGGTCTGTTCTGTAATCATTACCTGGTCTAGTTTTCACAGCTGATACTGAGCTTCTCCAGTGATTCTTTCCACAGATGTTAAATCTGTCTGATTCCTATGCATACCATCAGGTGAAAGCCTTGTGTATACCCTGCTTTTATATTTCTTATAAAATGTATTTGCAATGAATAAGTTGTTGATTGGGCAAAATTTTGTCATTCTAGTTGATGACATAAAGACTCCCTACATAAACATCTCTTCCCCCCCCCTCTGTGTTTCTCAGATGTGTGTTTATTAACTGCTCATTGAGCTGAATTGAGAAGAAAAATATTTCTAAAACAGATTGAATTCTAATTCAGAATAACAAAATAAACCTTTTATGATTATAATCTTACATACTCAGTAGAGGATGTAAGAAGATGTCTTATTTATATTTAATTAATGTCAAATAAAGCATTTAAAGGTATCATAATCTTAATTAAGAATTTCTGTCTCTGGGTCACAGAGGCCTTTAGTTAGCACTATGTGTTGACATTTAGAGCTTAATGAACATAAATGTGTAAATGTTCACCAGATGATCCAGGTAAAAGTATCAGAGTTAAAGGAAGAGGAATCAATAAGAAAGTAAGAGATGAGTGAGAATGGTAAGAAGTGCCTTTTTATACTTAATGATTCTATACATTCAAACAAAAAAATGTCTGCTCTCCACAATACTGAGTAGTAGTAATGTTAGTTTAAAGAGTAAGATGTGCCAGCC